CACCAAAATAACAAATGAAATCTACAACAGCAGGGATATACCGGAAGACCTTAGCTGATCTACCTTCATAACTATGCCTAACAAACCAGGCGCAAACGGATGCGAACTCCACCGAAATATAAGCCTAATGAGCTAGGTAACAAAACTCACCCTCCATATTATGATGAATAGAGCGCGCAGCAGAATCAGGCCAGAGATAGGTCAAGAACAGTGCGGGTTCGTTAAAGACACTGGAACAAGGAACGCGATATTCATGCTCAGAATGTTATCAGAGAGAGCAATAATGATGCAGAAGGACGTGTACTTATGTTTCATAGACTACGCAAAGGCCTTCGACAAAATACGCCACAAGGATCTGATGGAACTGCTCAGCAACCTTGATATATTCATGAAAGATAGAATAATCCAAAACTTATGCTGGTAGCAAACAGCATGCATGTGCATAGATAAACGAGTTCAGTGAATATATAAAAAGTAGAAACAGGCGTAAGGCAAGGATGCGTCTTCTCACCGGACCTGTTCAACCTATACAGCGAGGCAATTCTGAGAGAACTGGAAAACCTACCGGAATTTATCATTGGCGGACACAATCTTACCAACATAAGATACACAGATGACACAGTACTGATAGCAGACACAGAAAAGAAATTACAAAATCTCCTACAGAAAGTAGCGACAGAGAGTGTGAAGAAAGGGCTACAGGGGACCGACACTATTTTTCAGACACTTTATTTTTTCAAGTTTTAGGTAACACAGGCAGTCTGTACTGTTTTTGGGTAATGGCGATAACATTAAAAAACTGTTTCAGTACTACAAATGGAAAAGCAGAATTCAAATTAGAAGTATTTTTATTTTTTTACAAATTTTCCCATTTCACAGGCGACAGTATTTTTGGGACATTGCAGAAACAATGCTAATAGTTTATGGCAGCACCCTTTTTTTCAATGACTTCTATCAGTCTATCTACATAATATTCGTACATACTGATAATAACGTCTCTACGTTTTTCTAGCAGTCTATTTTTAGCATCTTGTATGCGCTGCCACAGTTCAGCCTCTCTGGTTATTTCTGGCCCATCGTAAACAAGCTCTGCAAGCATTTCCCATATGTTTTCAATTAAATTTAAGTCTGGACTTCTTGAAAGCCATTCCAGAGTAGTTATATTTGCTTCACACGTCCAATTTTCCACTGATTTGGCCACATGGATGTTGCAGTCGTCTTGCTGTAAAATAAAATTAATTCCCTTTTCTTTTTCTATGAATGGTAGGGCTCTCTTTTCCAAAGGTTCTCTGTAGCTCAAGCTATTTTGACGTTCTTTTAACCACTCGAGCCACAAGTTTCCATTCGGAAATACCATACCCCAAACCATGACTCCTCCTCCTCCCATTTGTCTCTTGTTGAGAATAACAGGTTCACCTTTTCTCGACCATGTACACCACTCGTCAGGTCCATCGAACTTAAAACGTTTTCCATCAGTAAATATCCCTTTCATGGTCAACATGGTTTGTTATCCATCTTTTAGTGCTTCCCAGCCTTGCCTCCTTGTGTTTTCTCGTTAGTGCAATTATTTTCTTGATTTTAGCATACTTAAGTCCAATTTCGTGTAGCTTTCTTTGTACAGTTCGAACACTGACGTCAAGTTCACACTTCTCCTTTACTTTCTTCGCTGTCACCTTTTCTCCAGATGATAACAACCTCGTAACACTCCTCTTCATTCTTCTTTCTTTTCTCTTGGAAATTGTTTTTTTCCGTCCTCTCTTCTTCTTCCGATCATAGTCTGTACTTAGCATGTATTCAACTGTTGACTTCGGTAGCTTCATCTCAGCGGCGATCTTTCGGATACTGACCCCGTCTTCTCTCTTCTTTTGGACCAAACTGATGACTTCTTTTGAATGCATTCTTCTTCAGGATTTTAATACGTTTTCGCAGTGAATGGTAAAGATACTCAAATGGAATGGTCAGGGTACAATTTACCTGCAGAAAATTTGCATATTGTAGACGTTCGACGGCTAAATCATTAAAAAAACCCGGAATTTGTGTCATGTCCGAAAAATAGTGTCGCCTAAGTTGAAGTAAAAATAAAGAAAACATGAAACCAAAGAGAAACCCATCAATCAATGTTCATACCATTAATGGACAGTTACTGCTGAACTACCTACTCATCAACACAAAAGCTCTCGGCAGCAAAAAAACACATTTAAGCACACTTTTCAAAGTGTCCCAAAAATAGTGTCGGCCCCCTGTAAGTATAAACTACAATAAGATGGAATGCATGCTCATCAGTAAATGGAAGAGCCCAAAATGCGATTTGGATGTCGGGAACACTAGAATCAAGCAGACGCGTAAGCTTAAATATCTGGGAAGCGTTCTGACAGAGGGCGGTAAATGCATCACTGAGATCCGTAGGTGTACTAGGATGGCTTAGGACGCATTCCAAAAGCTGGGCAGAATATTGCAAGACAGGAAGATTTCTTTGGTAACAAAGAAAAGAATACTGAGCTGTTATGTGACATCTGTCCTCCTTTACGGTAGCGAATGGTGGACAATTTCCTTAAAGATGAAGAATAGACTCGAGGCGACGGAGATGTGGTTCTAAGGAAGGATGCTAAGGATATCAGGGACCGAGCATCTGAGCAACGATGACGTCTTAGAGGGAATGTAATCAAGGGGGATGGTTATATTTCATATTCGGAAGCGGCCGCTGAAGTTCCTGCGACATTTAACGAGGAAGAACGGCTTGGAGAATCTGATACTCACGGATCGAATAGAGGGAAAGAAAAACAAGGGAAAAATGCATGGCATTCCTAGCGGCCTTAAGCAAGTGCATGACAGAACGTTGTCTGGGGGAGGAAGCAGAGGGAAGAAACTTGTTGAGAGTTGCAAGTAATAGAGGGAGATGGTGAGCCATGATCGCCTACGACCTGAAAGGACATGGTACATAAAAAGAAAGAAATACGGTCTATAAAACGCACTTCTATTCATCCCTAAAACTGTACCAGTTTACGAACAGATCTTAGAAAGGACGCAAACAAGGAGGAGGCTTTTACTTAACACCAGGAAGAGGTAGCTGAACTTTCTGAGACACGTAATGAGGAAGGAGGGTTTGGAGAATCTGATACTCACTGGTCGAAGAGAGGGAAAGAGAAACAAGGGAAAACAACGTCCTTAAGTGGATGACAGAACGTGGTCTCTGGGAGATAGCAGAGGAAAGAAACTTGTGGAGAGCTGCAAGGAATAGAGGGAGAAGGTGAGCCATGATCGCCTATGTCGTGAAAGGACACGGCACATAGAAAATAAAACAACAATTTACAAAAATATTCAGAGAGTACGATTTCATTTTCAGTATTTTTTTCACTGCTCTTTGGACTAAAACAATTTGAATTTCTTAGGCCCCTAACATCTTTTAGATTCAGTTGTATCTTTTCTAATTAATCTCTTTTGCCCTAAGTTGAAACGATACATCCTCTCCTTGTTGTGACCTCCTGCTTCACTTTTCCTCTCTACCTTCCCCTCCTTTTTTAAACTTATTCACCGTTCTCTTGATCGTAAGTTAAAAGGCGGGGTCAAATGATCAGAATTAAATTGACTAAAAATGATCTTACGAAAAGAGGTAAAGATCTGTTTTTCAAATTTCCCTAATAAATCATATTTATCACTAGTTATCTACCATCGCCTGATGAGGTACCATCTCAGTATCGAAACATGATAGTTTTTGTGTAACGATGTAACATGTTTTTATTGTAATTTATTATAATAAAAATATTATAATAATATTTTGCACTACTTTGTACTGAGCACTTTTTTTAAGACTAAATAATACGAACAGTGGATTTTTACCCCATCTGATCGGTTAGCAAGAAAAATAAACACAGTAAAATCGATCTTGATAATTGAACGCTCATCTGTGGCTCAAAATATCCTAAAATAATTGTCGTACTTTGTCCATATCATAATGTGTGACGTCATTTGTTTACATTTGGATACACCATGAACAAATATGAATGTACGTGAGAGAATCATGGAAGAATATAGTTTAAAGACAGTAAAATCAACTTTGCTTACCGGACGCTGCTCTGTGGCCCAATCGGTTAAAGTCCTGTCAGGCTATATGACGGTTCCGTATAGGATGCAGGTTCGATTCCTGTCGGAGGACAAACATTTTCTACGAAAATTTCTCGGACATTCAGGCCGGTAAATGTTGTTTAATACTGTTTTTTTTTTTTATCAACAGAGCATTTACTTTTTAATATTTGTATCCATAAAAAAGAAATATATATATATATATATATATATATATATATATATATATATATATATATATATATATATATATATTTGAACATTTACAACATTTTCATTCAAAATGATGATTCACATATGATAGATATTTTGGTGTGATGGGCTCTTTTCTCTCTAGATGTGTACGTATAAAAAAGGGATCTGTACAAAAACGTATACGTGTGTTCACTTACAGGGCGTGACAATTACCCCTGTGGTAACATAAAGTCCTTACCAGTAATGAAATGCTTGTTTTCCGTTCAAAGCGAACTGACTTTACTTTAGTAAAATATTCGATTTCCAGACTGGCGGTGAAACCCACATTGCGCACAATTGTAAGATATAATTTGTATTAGTACCAATATCACTAGCATATATTTTTTTTTTGGTGGGGGTGTTGCTACTATAATATGGAGTTCTATAATATGGGGTTAAATAAATCGTCGAAAAGTGGTAGATAAATGGGTCGATAGATAAATTGTCGTCTAAATTGTTGAAAAAATTAAAATGACACTGACATCTCATTTTAACAGATATATTTATCAAAATTACACAAACATATCTTGAAACGCTAGAAAATCACCATTGTCTTTAACCACGGTCTCCAGACGACTTAGGGATCTCCTGCAACTCTTCTGGACGGTCTCCTTGCCTTCACTTCATCTTTGGTGTTAAAAGGAGTTTTGTTGGTCTCTCGCCCAACTGCGCCCCGCACATAATAATCAATAATAATAATCTGGGATAGATAGTGGAAGAAACTGAGATACCATAGATAGATAGATAGATAGATAGATAGATAGATAGATAGATAGATAGATAGATAGATGAAGAAACTGGGATAGATAGATAGATAGATTAAGAAACTGGGGTGGATAGATAGATAGAATAATAGATAGATAGATAGATAGATAGATAGATAGAAGATGAAGAAACTGAGATAGATAGATAGATGAATAAATAGATAGATAGATAGATAGATAGATGAATAGATAGATGAAAAAACTGGGATAGATAGATAGATAGATTAAGAAACTGGGATAGATAGATAGATAGATAGATAGATAGATAGATAGAATAGATGAATAGATAGATGAAAAACTGGGATAGATAGATAGATAAGAAGATAGATAGATTAAGAAACTGGGGTAGAGATAGATAAATTTTAATGATAGATAGATAGATAGATAGATATATGATAGATAGATGAAGAAAGATGATAGATAGAAAGATAGATAGTTTAAGAACATGGGATATATATATATTATATATATATATATATATATATATATATATATATAGATATAGATAGATAGATAGATAGATAGATAGATAGATAGATAGATAGATAGATAGATGAAGAAACTGGGATAGATAGATAGATAGATAGATAGATAGATAGATAGATAGATAATATTTAGCAAAATTACAGAACAAATTTCTATAAATACAAAAGAGAAAATCTATTCAGTAAACATGCAATTGGTTTCAACCACAGACTTCAGGAAAATCTCCTACAAATCCTCTTGACGGCCCTCTAGTTGAAGATGAATGATGCCATAATCGTTGACTTTAGGTCATCTTTGGTGTTAAAAGGAGTTAGGTTGGTCTCTCGTTCTACTGCGCCCCACACATGATAATAACAGGGGTCGCAGTCTGCGGACTTAGGTAGCCTGATACAAAGGATGACGTGGTCGCAGAAATTGTCTGACAGCTATGACTGGGTTCTCCTGCTTGTGTAGTATAGTACAGATTCCTGCTGCCATACATAGGGTCTTCTAGTAGACACCTTCTTGATCCTGGACAGCACTACCTCTTCAAATCACTTGATGTAGGACTCCGTGCTGAGTCTGAAGCCCTGTGGGAAGATGAATGGCGGCATAACGTGGTCATCACTTGCGATCGCTCCAAACACCTTCGTAATCTCCATTAGACTCATTCAACTCTTTACGAATCCTCTGCACTGTCCTAATTTCTGGTGGAGTGCATTGGGTCATGATGCTCATTCTCTCACAGACGGTGCCCAACTGACCCTACTATACAGGGAAGTCGACAAAATAAAAAACAAAGAATGCACATTTGGAAAGTATAAAACGGCGACAATTTAAACATTGCACCCTGTAGAAATCTTGTTTTGCGTCAGTTTATTTTGTGTTTAGCAAGATATTTCTTTTTTGCTTTTACTATTTGTGAACGTTTTTTAACATTCATTAAATATTCAAAAGTTATATTTCTAACTGATACTAAGTTATGGTTCACATTATTATTATTATTATTATTATTATTATTATTATTGCTTTATTTTCGACTTGAAAGTCTTGGAAATTATGAGAGGAAGACATGAAATATGTCTGTTGATATTGTCAAGAACAATTTTCATTCCATCAATATTTATCTGCTATAACATTCGTAATAAATATATACATGGCTGGATATTTATGATTCTTTACAAGGATATGACATTAAAAGGTGCATAATGAAACAAGCGATATTTCATTGCACATCCGGGTGTCGATAGGTTTAAATACGTATAGAGTTTATCTATCTATCTATCTATCTATCTATCTATCTATCTATCTATCACAGCCCTTCGTATGTATGCATGTATATATGTGTGTATGCATGTATCTGTCTATCTCTTTGTATCACAGTTCTTCGTATCTATCAATCTATCTGCATAGATACAGGGATAATGAACTGAATGAAATACACTGATAGAGATAAAAAGAAAATAGACAAAAAATTTATATATATATATATATATATATATATATATATATATATATATATATATATATATATTATATATATATGTATATATGTATATATATGTATATATATATATATATATATCGGATATATATATATTATATATATATATATGTGTGTGTATATGTGTGTGTGTGTGTGTATATATATATATATATATATATATATTATATATATATATATATATATATATATATATATATATATATAAGGCAGGATATGTGTGTGTGTGTGCGTGTGTGTGTGTGCGTGTGTGTAACAAATGCACGGCCGCAATTTTCGACGGATTTGCACCAAAATTTACATACAAATGCTCCAAGTTAGCGGGAAGGCCAAGACCGACTTTGCATTTCACAACTCCCATCGATAGTGGAAATAATCGATTTTTTCATGCTTCTAAAGCAGTTTTCATGTAGTTTTCGGCCATTTTGTAGTAGCCAGAGTGAGAGCCAATAGCTGGCTTCCACGAATAGGCAGGAAGATTCTATTGGACAGCGTGAGAGCCAACAGCTGACTGACACGAATGTTAACTAGCATGCAAAAAAATCGATAACTGCATTCGTCACAAGTGGGAAAAAATTAAATCTCCACGGCACTTTACTCTAATTGGCTCATTCGCTTGCTTAAACTCAACGTTGATTCTGATTCCGTAGAACTGGGTTGGGTGTGAAAAAGTGTAGTTAACATTCTTTTTTCATTCGGTTTTTCCAGTTACGAGTCCTTTTTTAAAGCTGATCGTTTTGTGTTCGTTTTGTTTAGTTCTTTTTTCGTTAACAGATTTAATGTTTAGTAGAGAGCTTAGAAAAAATCCGCAGTGTGAGATAGGCAAGAAGTAAGGCATGTAGCATCATCAGCACGGCAAAGGGCACTCTTTTAAAGGAAAGGAAGAGCAAAAATATTTTAAGTCAAGTGATAGCGATTGCTGTATGAGTCGTACGATTTTTGAATCAAGCAGAGGCAACGCCGGGCTATGCTGCTAGTGTTTACATATATATATATATATATATATATATATATATATATATATATATATATAGATAGATAGATAGATAGATAGATAGATAGATAGATAGATATGAATCGGCATTGACTGAGAGAGAGACCTAGAAATGAATAGAAATTCTCACGTCGTATTCGGGGTATGAGAGTCAAGCAGCTCAGTCCCTAGGAACCGACAGCCCTCACACCAGCACATATGTTTTGATTATAGTGGTGAGGGCTTTGTGCAGAACCAACTACACTTTTTGAAGGGCCGAATACTAAGACACGGTGCACTACGTGCCACAAGGTCCTCAAACGACCCTTTGCAGGGTTTGAATTCAGATTTGTCCTTCTCTTAGAACAGTTGCCCTACAAGGCTACAGAACCCAGTCTACCCTGCTATTTACCCATAGCTGCAGCGAGAGAAGAGGATTAATCGCTTTTCAATGGGTATTAGCACGTAAGTGAATGTAATGGATTCGACTGGAATTCTAACTCCGATTCCTGAATCCGATCAGCTATCCACTACTCCACCCTGCCTCCCATATACATATATATGTCTGTGTGTGTGTCCGTTTCCGCATGCGCGTATGTGTGTTTGCACACGCGCGCTTGTGTCTCTGTGTGTAGAACGCCATTTCAGAATTGTAGAAAAATGCAAATAGATTCTTTAAAAAAAAATTTTTGCATACTGCGCGTCTCGTACTTAGAATGATATTTTGGAGGCGCACTTCAAAATAAGATCAAGAATATTTGTCCTCCTTAAAATGGATATATAAAAACTAGGAAAATATTTATTAACCAATAAACTTGAGATTAATAAATTTGAAATTCGGTTTCTTCCGAAGCCGATTATTTTATTATACATATGATCAATTCTTGTTTGCTACCAATCTTTCAGTGAACCTTTGACCAGTGTGTTTGTTCAATTGTTTGTTACACGAACAAAACTGAATTTCTACATAATTAACTACCGACGTTTTTTTGTATATTTCTTCGAGTATATAATATTACAAAATTAATGATTGGCGATATATTGACCTGAAAGGAGATCAAATTATCTAAGTTTGTTTATGAGTGACAACAGCTTCGCCTGCCTTCTTTCATGCGATTGAAATAACAATTTATACACACTTTAAATCCATGTCGAATATATCTGCACATATATAGACGAATTTTCTGTTCTTTCCTATCATAGTGCAATTCATTCGGTTATAAGGAAAGTAAAAACAGATACACAAAATATTTTGTATGTGGTTGTTCGCAAAGAATCCCTTGTAATTCATAACTTTCATTTTTAAATAAATTAATACTAGAAAAAAATGTTTTTAATAGACTTGGTTGTATAAACGGGGATAAGAAGAAAGGACTAAAATAAGAAAGGACTGGAGAAATGTAGAGTGAAGCAAAAAAGAACGAAATGAATAAACTCAGAAAGATAGATATAAAGTGACCGTAACAGAAAATATGAGCTAAGAAAGAAAGAAAGAAAGAAAGAAAGAAAGAAAAATGAGCCAAGTAAGATAGATAGATAGATAGATAGATAGATAGATAGATAGGGATGTGATAGATTGATATATATATATATATATATATGATATATATATATATATATATATATATATATATATATATATGAAGAAAATATCTGGAAAAACAAACAAAAATCCTTAGAATGTGATTATGTTGTTTTAATATGAATGAAATGTCGACGTCTGACGTTTCGGTTTAATAACCTTCTTCAGGACAATATTCATTAAAAATACAATACAATTAACATAATCATTATAACTCGACGAAAACGATGGACATAAAAAACAAGTCTTATCCAAAACAGATGATAGAAAATTTTAAATGATCAGCTTTCCGTTTGAGCGTCTGTTTACGTTGTCGTCAAATGGGCGATGCTTTAAAACGTATTCTTAAAATTTTATAAAATTTGATTCCGATGGAAAGCAGTTCGTTGTAGTAATACGCGGAGACTAGTAGATTCTTGTATCTTCGGATAAGCATGCAGTCCTCCATGTAATAATAAATATATATATATATATATATATATATATATATATATATATATATATATACAGAGAGAGAGAGAGAGAGAGATAGCGATAGGCAGAGATAAAATGAACAGGCTTTAAAGAGATAGATAGATAGATAGATAGATAGATAGATAGATAGATAGATAGATAGATAGATAGATAGATAGAAAAAGAAACGACTGGTATGGGTATAAAAATAAATACAAATGAAAAAACTTGTATATGGAGATTGAGAGATATATAGATAGATAGTGAACACACTGGGTTGGGAAAATATATACATGGAATTGTAGATAGATAGATAGATAGATAGATAGATAGATAGATAGATAGATGAAGAGACTGGGATGAAGATAGATAGATAGATAGATAGATAGATAGATAGATAGATAGATAGATAGATAGATAGATAGATTTTTCCACTCATCAACTATTTTATATTAATTCACTTTCCTTTTGACTGACTGTATAGCGCCAAGCACTTACCGTCCACAAAATTCATAACCAATAACAACGAGACCTTGAATAACGACCATTTACACCGAAATTAGACAAGGATCTCTTGGAATGATTCTCCAGCTTCACTTCCAGACTTTACAAGCGTTACCAACAGAACTGACTGTTTGTTCCCAAGTCCTGTACTTCAAAATCAACTCCATGCCAAAATGAATATTTACAACGGCTTGTTGGCAACCAATGATGATCGTCTTAATCTCCGATCTAGATTCCGTTGTCAGCCGGGATGTACGATGTCAGTGGTCAGTTCTATCCAATTTGTCAGTGGTACGTACATATTTCAATCTGCGTAAAGCAGTGCTCAAATCCTTCCCCCCACCCCGCTAGCCTAGGGTTCCATGCTGCCTTCTGACCTGAGTCTTTGGCGGCAGGAAGATCGAATGGACCATCATTTCATAATTTATTACACTTGACATATTCCCAATTGCCGATACGATCTCTGAATATGCAGTATGGACATTGATACACGACGTCGTGCGTAAAAACATCGTATCATGAATTGCTACATTCATAGAAACAGCTGCAGCCAGGCGGGTAGAATTCTGGATGAGCTAGGGTTTTAATAAATATAAAAAATAAAACCAAAAAGAAAGAGGAAAAAAATAAGAAATGCTCTTTTGCTAGAAATTAAAAATATGGCACAATATCAAAATCTCTAACTTTGTTTCCACGGAAGTAATTTGGGTTATTATTAATTTTCAGTAGTATTTATTTTCACCTTTATTTCTGGTTGGTCTTTATTGCAAAGATTTGGTTTCATTGATTTGATTTTACCGTGTAAGAACCTTTCGCTGGTTATCTAAAGCCCCAGATGTTGAAATAAGCGGGTTTAATGGAAGATTAATAAAAAAAAAATGTATATTTCATGTGGTCAGTTTAAACTGACCATTTCTCATATTTTGGCTTTTTCGCTGAAAGCTCCTATTTTCTAATATCAGATGTCGACCTCGTTCCCAACATATTTGAATGAAATTTTAACTTTCCGCAATTATAGTTTGTAATTATTGTTTAACTATTATCGATAAAAGTAGGCGTCAAATGACACTGATGAAGATATGGTTTAAGAAATTGACATAACTCCGTTTCATCTAATTGATTGATTTTTCCAAGGAACCGCCCTTCTGACCCGAGTCTTTGGCGGCAGGAAGATCGAACGGGCCATGGTTTCTTAATTTATTACATGACATATTCCCAATTAACAATATTTTTCTCTTTTCTATATTCAGTGGAGACATTGATACACGACGTCGTGTGTAAAAAAAACACCATGTCATAACGAAACATGAATTGCTACGTTCATAGAAGCAGCTGAAACAGGCGCATAGAATTCTGGGTAAAAAGCTTCTAGCCGATCCAGGGTCTTAATAATTATAAAAAGAAAAGAAACAAAAAGAAAGAGGAAAAAAACATGATAAATGCTCTTTTGATTAAAAGTATGGCACAATATCAAAATCTCAAACTTTTTTTCCAGGGAAGTAATTTGCATTATGATTAATTATTAATTCATTTCCAGGTTATAAAAATTGTTATCCCACAGAAAAATTCGTCGCAAAAAATCACGTTAAAAGATCAACCAAAATCAAACCCAGAAATTAAAATTTGAGAATCCAAAATGTCATGATTGCGGTTCGGAGGTGTCCCTGAATGTTTTAAATTTGCTCACAGCTTCGGCCAAAATGGTATGATAAGTTGGGCTACGGCTTCTAAGTTTAAAGTTGAAAACACGGACAATTTTATTTTGAAACATTGTAATTTGAGAAACCTATGTTTTTATTCATTTGAAATGAGCTGTTGAAAGTTAGAGTTGTGTCCCTTTAAATTGCAAACGCGTGACACAGTTACACACTAGATTCGCATTTATTATTATTATTATTATTATTATATATATATATATATATATATATATATATATATATAAAAAAGAAAGAACAGTAAGATATATAATCCGGTGTTCTTATAGATATTTTTATTTTTACAAAATAGTGCTCAATGTAAATTTACAGAGCATTAATATTATAAATTAATTGATTTAAAATGTGTTTTTTCGCTACACAGTTCTAACCATGTTTCAAAAATGGAAGCTAAAAGCCCCTAATTTAATTTTGTGATTAAATTAAAGACATTATGATTACATTTTGATTAAATTAAAGACATTCGCTTGAGGGTGAAATGGAACTAATGTCTTTAATTAATGTAGCTAAACACTACAATCAATCAGGACACACATTAGAAAACTGCAAATGTTTATTAATAGATTCCGATTTTACATCCACATTCACACGCAGAAAAAAAGAAACATATTGGATTTTAAAATTAAATACACATAAACTAGGGTTGAATAGGGACTTAGGTGTTTTAAATCTTTATAAATATTTCAATAGTTAAGCATTTTTTTTTAGATATAAAAAAAAAGTTTTTTTTAAATATTTATGACAGTTAGATTTAAGTTAGGAATATCCGAACAGTGACGTTCCATATCACGTGACGTCCGCGTCTCGCGAAGGACGCTACTTGCTAACAAACAGTAATTTTAATTTATTTGTAACAAACAGTTATTTCTGATGAAAAATTGAGGACAATTTGAAATATCAAATATATATATAAATAAATAAATACTTTCATAAAAATAAAACATTATAATTTTTAATTTGAAACTTTTTCTATATATATATATATATATATATATATATATATATATATATATATATATATATGTGTTTAAAAGAGATTAAACAGATACACACACACACACACACACACACACATATATATATTGTCATCCACAGACTGTTTCGCTGTATCACAGCTCATTAGTGTGGTTAGATGTCCCGTTACCTCTAGCTAGTTTCGAAACCCAGAGTAAAGATAAGAAATCCGTTGGTATATAATCCAAGTGGATCCTAGTAATATAAAAAATTAAAAGTGAACCATAAAAAGTGCTCAATGCATTTATTAATATACAATAAAATCCAAAATCACCTCATATGGGGAATAAATAATTTAAAAAAAAAATAAAATTCGTCAGTCTAATTCAGATTGGGATAAACTGAGTTCGTGTCGAAATTAGAAATTTAACTATGAAAGAAAAAAAAAAAAAAAGAAAAGAAAACGCCGAAAACCTAATACACGGTTTATCTATTTCAATGTTTCAGTCAGACGAAAGGCACGAGAGAGTGGTCAGAGGAGGGTATAAGGTAAGTAGTCTTAAAGGGAAGATGTTTTATAAAATTAAACCCTGATATTAACATCGTGTCATTAAATTGGTGATATATGAAGAATTAAATGCTAATTTCACACTAAGAGGAGGTTATTTATATATATATATATATATATATATAGATATAGATGTTTCCTTTAGAGAGAGAGAGAGACGAAGAGATGACGGAGAGAAGAAGCAAGAGATAAAGAGAGAGACGACAATGAGAGAACGAAAAAAAGAGATAGATAGATAGAGATAGCAATATCTGCTACCTCATGGTGAATATGTATATATATTACACGAATGAACATATATTTTTCACCAGTCTCTTTCATTGCCATTGCACTTAAAGTCGAAGCCAATATTATTCACATCAGTCGGACATTATAATAGAGGAAATATTAGATAGAAATATCGACATGACAGGCTACAGATGATTTGACCCTCACCTCGTATATTGTGAGAAATTATTTTCCTATGCAACGTTTATTGGGAAATCATTTCCTCTTTTCAGCTACTTCAGTATTTTAAAACATCTAGCTCGGTGGTATTTTTTTTTTTAAATTTTGTTTCGTCGAATTCAGAATATGCCTTTAAATTTCATATCTTTTTCTACAGCCCAAAATATTTTTATTTTCTTATATTTAAGGAATTTTTATTTCTTTCGTCATATTACATTTTGATAATTTTATTTTGCTTTCTTTTGGAGTCTTTTAAAAAAATGTTTGAAGAAGAAACAACTTGCTACTTTACTTTAATTTTTCAGACATTTAGGTGGAGCAAAGAATGACATGCAAATTCTTTATGATATTTACAAGAAATATTAAATAACATCTCTCTTTCTTCGTTTATTTTGTTCCGCTTATTTCTACCGTTATATTCTTTTATCACTGACTAGCAGTAGAGCCTGGCGTTGCCCGGGGATGTAACAGTCTTTCTTTCTTTCTTTCTTTCTTTCTTTCTTTCTTTATTTCTTTCTTTCTTTCTTTCTTTCTTACCATCGTTTTCTTTTTACGTTCCACCATCTTTATCGTTCAGTATCTGTCTATATTTCCGTGATGAGGTAAAAATAGACTAACATTATTCAGACTATTGTTCCTCATCTTTTAAACCCATATTATCACAACGTTTCGGTCATTGTACGCTCGGCCTTCATCGACATACCAAACCATGTTGAAGAAAGCCTGAGCGTACAACGGCCGAAACGGATGATAAATATGGCATTAAAAAGATGAGGACAATAGTCCGAATAATGTAAATAATCGTTTTTATCGTTCATTGATCAATTCATTCATTCTTTCTTTCTTTTTCTTTCTATTTACTTTCTATTTAATTTCTTCCTTTTTATTTATGTTCTTTTTTTTCTTTCCATTTTTCTTTTTACTTTCCACCATCTTTATCGTTCAGTATCTGTCTATATTTCCGTGATAAGGTATTAACTTTTGATATTAACTTATTCTCTAACTATTGTCCTCAGGGTGGCCAAGATTCAACGATTTTTCATCCAACGCTCTGGCCTTCAAAGAACATACCAATATACCATATAAAAAATAAAAGCGTATAACGCCCGAAACGTTGTGATAAATATGACAACAAAGATGAGGACAATAGTCCGAATAATGTAAATAATCTTTATCGTTCATTGATCAATTCATTCATTCTTTCTTTCTTTTTCTTTCTATTTACTTTCTATTTAATTTCTTCCTTTCTAT